CTCTCCACCGTTTTCCTGCCATCCGTGAGAACATAGAAAGGAAACAAAACACTTAAACCTATCTTCCTCACTCTTTCCTTATTCGGCAGTGTAGCATTTATCCAAGAGGTGTAGTAGCTTCTCCAGTTCCTTGTTCATCTCTCCTTTCTTCGATGTGCTAAAGATCGGTTGCATGCAGATTGGAACCTAGCATGCATCCAACCCTTCTTCCTTTTGCTTGACCGAGGACACACTTAGGAGGTGAAGAAAGTTCCTTGTTGTTTCTCTGCTCCACTCTACAACTACAGCTGTTGAGGAATTCCTCTGCATGCAGAACCAAACTTAAGTTCACAGCCACCCCTTCCCCTCTCTGCCCAGCCGAAGCAACCATCATCAAGGAGGTGAGGCGTTCCCTTTATCTCCTTGTTAATCTCCATATGAATTGGTTCTGATTGAACCTTCCCCCCTTGCACGCAGCATGAACTCGACCTATTGGAACATTAGAAGAGTGGAATTGATAGTATTTTTCTGATTTGTGAGTTGTCTCAACACAAGGAGGTAAAGACCAAATTCCAAACTCCTTTCCCTTACAGTTGCGGTCTGCATGTATAGACTTGGCAGATGTTTTCTGTTTTGTGATTCTTATTTTGTTTCTGCTCATTGGGGTAGCCCTGAATCTAGTGCATGAACAGTCTAAAAGCCGATGGGTAAGTGGGAATTTGCTTCTCATTGATTTTTCTGTTCGACTGTTTTTTTGGACTAGGTGCAACCTATAGCTTTGCATGTGTCTACGTTAAATTTACAGCATGCTCATTAGCCCATTTTTTAGCGCACATTAGGTCTTTTAATAATGATTATGTAATGAAATAAATTAGGAACTGCTCATGTAGTTAAAAATAATTCATTAAACCTTGCATATGTTAGGATTAAACAAACAACATGTTTAAGAAAATCACACATGCATTGTGGTGCAGAAAATAGATTGTATAAATGACTAAATGAGGAACACCTAAGGACTAGCCAAAACTGAGCTTGCCTATGTAGTCTACCTTGGGGTTTTGGTCACGGTTAAATAATCAGTGAGATGAAATTAAGACAGAAAACTTTTGGTCTTGAGAGCATGAGAAACCGATTGGAGTATAAGAATTAGAAGGATGAAAACTGTGGATAAATTAGAGGAATAATACGAAGCAAATTCTGACTTGTCCCGCATGTATTTAGGTGCACGTAACTCTTATTGAATGGGCTGAATTTTGGTGTTGTTGATTATTGCTCAGACACAAGGTAAGTGTTAGGTGGCATTACCTATTGTGATTATTAGCTAGAGAATTGTGAATTGTTGCTCACATGTGCCTTGGACTGTATTCTGTTATATGATATATGTGTGTTGCCTATGAATGTGACAGATGGAAACTCTGCTATGAGAAGTAATGGTTATGCAGCAGCTTGGTAAGGAAAGTCCATGAAATATATGCTATTATGATGATGATCTCAAGTAGCTGGTAAATTAAAATTAGAATTGGCACAATTCGTCGTGCATATACACCTCATAATTCATTTGTTTCTTATTTGTGTGTAAAGCATATCATGGCATACATGCACGAATTTCATGCTGCTCATGGACTAGGATAAATATATAAATATGCATACGTTTGAGCACGCATCATATAGGCATCCCTTCGGTACCAGGGTATGGGACACTTGGCTTCCGTCCGCATAGGCCACAGTTGGAATTCACCTTTGAGGAGCCATTATGGAATATCCACTGTGTATGTTAGTACGCGCACGACGGTGCTATGAGCGTAATGATGGCGTTATATACGCACTATGATATGTTAGTACGCGCACGACGGTGCTATGAGCGTAATGATGGCGTTATATACGCACTATGATATGTTAATATTTCTCCGGAAAATGAAATGTTGATGTGACTGTTTTATAATTTTGTACCTAGTCTAATATTATTGCAATAATGGTTTTGCTATCACACTACAGGGATTTTTCTCACCCCTTCGGGAGCTCAATTTTCATAAATTGCAGGAGTACGAAAAAGAGTTTGATGAAGTGTTTGAGTTGAATATGTATTGTTTAATTGCTGCTGCTGTTTTGGGAATTTTGATGATGACATGCTGTGCCTGTTGATTGTTGGCTGATCACTATAGTAGGATGTAATATTTGTAGATGCTGGAAGAAAATGTTAGAACATGCCATAAATTGTTGTATGTGGATCTTTATGATTAGTTGTAAGTTGTAAGATTCTGCTCATACTGTACACATCTATTTTCTGTACGTTTTGAATGCTGATTTGTAAACTGTTTTTACGAGCACTTTGCGAGTTCCTCTTCTGGGGCTACAGACCTCCGATTTACTTATAATTTATAATGCACGCGTAGCCCCAGGTGTCTAGTTTCATATTATAAAAAATTTACAATGAAATTCTGAAAGCTCGATTTATTATGATTTTTACACGTCAGGTTGTTTTGGAACAATTTCACTGAATTATCTCTCACCTTGCGAGTTCTGTTTCGAGGGGCTAAACACCTCCGAATGAAATGATTTTTATATGCACGTAAAGCCCCGAATATCTAGTTTTCTTGTATCAAAGAATATCTTTTTAAGCTGCTGAACTTGATTTTACACGATTTTCCCAAGGCAACAAGGTTTTTCAGGAAAACTACTATTTCAGCAATTCATGTATTTTGTAAAGCTGCACTCTGATTTCAGTAAACCACTAGATTTTAAATATAAGGGTGAATTAGTAACTTGAAAACACAGTTCTTTATTTATTTTTTAAATTCGTTACGACTCTAATCCGCTTAGCAGACAACTCCCTTGGACGCGTACATGGGAGGGTGTCACACTAAATGGTATCAGAGCAGTTTTGATTCAAGGTGTCTGTATTGATGAATTATTTGTTGTTTGTACTTGGTTGCTGAATGGCCACTGTTTGAATTATGGATTATTTGTATATGCTCGTTGTATTGTTGCTGTTTGAACTTAGCTGTGAATGGATTACTGGTTAAAATTGCCTTGTATTTGGAGGTGTGATGATACTGGTAGTACACAGTATTAAGCATGGCTGTACCCATTCCCTTGCTAGGTGGTGAGCCTGATCAACTCACTGTCTCGCAAGTGGTGTGTGCACAATCATGGTTATCACGGGGTACACTTGTGTCTGAGCACTAGGTGTGAAATAGTAAATTGCTACTTGAATTAAAGGTGAATTAATAATTCTGTTTTCTATGGATTATAAACAAGGTTTTATATATATATGCTTGATGTGAATATTTTTGTGATATTCTAAGCTGTGAATGATAACATGTAAATTTGAAATAATGACTGCTGGTATGTACGTGCCCTTGAGGTCTATGTTGTTTCCTTGCATGTGTGGTTGTGTATATGACTGGATAGTAGAAACTGTTATTCCTCATTAATTCTGCTATGTTACTTAATTGCGTAAGGAGTTAATATGTTTGAGAAGAGTAGCAGTAATTTAATTATGAAAATTGACGTAGGGATAGGTCACTTACCTAAGTAGAGCCGGTTCATGCTCTTAGAACGTAGAATTAGTATTAATTAAGGCTTTAATATGTGGGATCGTTGTCCTTCCAAATTTTCGAATGGTGAATTGGTACTAGACATCATTCTTGAAAAAGAAGCCGTCCAACAAAGCGGTGATGCATGGGGGAGTGTACTGGACTCCTGCCTTCCTGTTCTTCTGATAATTGACCCTTGTAGTTCCATCTCTTACACAATTAAACAAATTCAGGAATTACTAGGTATATCATGTAATGTTGATTAAGAAATTCAGGTAAGTTATTAAGATTATAGTGCCAACATTCCCCTGTATTTAGATCTTGGTCTAGAACCTTAAATTGTTTCTAGTGTGTTGCAACAAGTATAGATTGCTAGCGAACTTCACCACCACATCTAGTTCATGGGAATGACCACAGTTTTATCCCTTTATCACTGTAGAACCCGATTCGTCCCTCAGTTGACCCAAACTCGGTTTGACCATCTTAATTAGTTACTTTTGATCTTAATTTGCGCAGATGTGTACATACACCTAATACATTATCGATTCAATTCCAATGAGGGTCATGAATTGATGTAATTAACAAACTTCGATAAGAGCAATTAAATTCTGGTTGTTTCATTGGTTAGGAACATGTAAGTTAAGCGTGCCGGATTAAACAATACTGCCCATAAAAATTTTGTAATGTCTTTGAATGTGTTAGACTGCTTGGTTGTGTGCTTGAGTAAATTTTTGTCTTGCACTAGACATTTAACTTCGGAGACTTTCCTTCCTCTTCTATTTCCTTGAGGATTTTTGTTCTTTGTAATTGCTTTGTGACCTTATTTTATGAGAGCGTGGTAAATTTTGGTGGGTTATTTATGGTAGCTGTTTCAGAACTGTAATGTCTATCGATGATTGAGCAGTGCATGTCATAGTCAATGGATCCTCTGAGCAGTGGAATTGTAACACCCTCCCTTGTATGCATCCACGAGAGTTGTTTGCTAAACGGATTAGAGTTTTGACGTCATTACTTTGATATTGAATACACATCTTTTTGTTGCTAATTAGAACTTGTGATGAAATCTGGTTTCATACATGTAACACCCTCCCTTGTATGCATCCAAGAGAGTTGTTTGCTAAGCGGAATTCGAGTTCTTTCGTCATATGTCAATTACTGGAAAATCATTTTGATGTTGCTAATTAAAATTTGTAATTGAGATCAGATTACTTACAAAAATCAGAGTATGCTTTCAAAATTTCTTAAGTTGCTGAAAATATAATTTTCCTGGCAGACCTTGCTGTCTTTAAAAATTCGTATAAAATCAACTTTTCAAAACTCTTTTGTAACATTTATATAATCAAAAACTAGACACGCGGGGCTTCGCGTGCATATAAAATAATAGTAAATCGGAGGTCGTTTGCCCTTTGTAACGTAACTCGCAAAGTGCTCGCAAAACTGTTTCAAAATCAGCATGTAACAAAACGTCAAGATTTATTTTCGCAAAACGTTTCTAAAATTTATTTCCAAGTACTTGCTGATCCTAAAAGTCTTAAAACAGTACTAAAATCATAGTTCAACAGTAATACAACTTCTCAAATTAATACAATCATCCCTCAAATAAACAGCAACAGCAAAAGTCCAAACAGCAGCACATAATAACAAATATCCATATAATCATGTCTTCATATGCTCTTCCGTCCTCCTGTCATTTTATAAAAATAGCATCCCCAAAGGGGTGAGAAAAATCCCAGTAGTGTGGCAATAAAACCAATACAGTAACAATATTAGACTAGGTACAAAATTCCAAAACAGTCGCATCAACATTTAATTTTCTGAACAGATGCTAATATATAATCAGAGTGCGTTATAACGCCAAAGTACTAATCAGATTGCGTATATAATGCCAGAATACTAATCAAGATGCGTATATAACGCCAAAGAGTACGTTCATAGCACCGTCGTGCACGTACTAACAAGCACAGTGGAGGTCCTTCCTTTAATGGCTCCTCAGAGGGTTCCAACTGCAACCTATGCGGACTGAAGCCAAGTGTCCCATACCCTGGTACCGTAGGGACGCCTATATGATGCGTGCTCAATCACATGTATATATATATATATATATATATATATATATATATGCTTCAGTTTCTAAATGGATAATCAATGTTGTATGCCCATGCTATGCTTTCACACACAAAGCAGAAAATAAATGCGGTATGATGTAATTGTGCATGACTAAATCATATTCATATAGCATATATCTCTTGCCCATATAATACCAAGCTGCCGAATAACAAACACTTCCGTAGACAGAATTTTCCATCAAGACAAGTCCAAGGGCAGATTCCATATATCATATAACATATAGCAGAATACTAATCATAAGGCACATGTGAGCATCAGTTCAAAATTCCATATACTAGCTAATAGTCACAGTATGTCTCACTACCAAACACATACCTTGTATGCTCAACCATTCATCAAACAGCAGCAAACTTAGTCCACATTCAAGGTTTATGTGCACCTAATCAAGCAAGAAAAACCAAACAAAATTCTAACGTTGGTTCTTATAATTTACAATTAATTTCTATGCTACCAATACTTATACTCCGTCGGTTTCCATGCTTCTTTCACTAACCAATTTTCTGATTCCTCATCAATTTAGAATTTCATTAACAGCAGCTAAATCCAACATTCCAACTCACACAGGCTCGGTTCATTACTAGGTGTTCATACTTTATTTTAACACAACTCAACCAATGTCATTTAGTCATTGTTAATTAAATTAAACATGGTGTCTATACAGATTCATCAATGCACGCAAAACTTGACCAAACATAAATCCAAAAGGATCCTCCATGCGCACCAACTCGGTTTACAACCCTTCACAAGGTGCATCAAAACTCTAATTTTCACAACCTTCCTTACACTTAGGGGGAAATTTAGAGGCCTTTTAATATGTTGTTTCCTTAGCTAAATACACATGCAAGGTCCAATTCAAAACAGATTTCATGACTCTCTCTCTAATTAATTTTTCTGATTTGATAATAATTTTACTAACGTTAACAATGATAAAAAATCCAAGTTTCTAGGACATGGGTGTACGGTTTTCAGACCAACAAAATATTCTACTCAGCAAAGGGATATTTTTCCAAGTTCCAAATTAATGCTGTAGATTTCCCTACACCAAGAGTCAATGGCTTTACCACCGAACAGAAAATAAAATGGGAATGACAATCTAATACTTCCCAACCACATGCAGTAGCCGAATTGAACAATGGGATATGAGGAACAAAACTTTACATTCTTCTTTAACGCACGTGCAGTTGAACACATAAGGTGAGCTATTTTCCCAAGCTCTCAGAATTGATTATTTAGATTTATATTCATCAAGGCCCCCCCCCCTAACTACATGCAGCGGCAGAACCGAATAATAAGGAGTAAAAGAAAGAAATATATATCTTCCTAAAGCACTCAAACAGGTCGAACAGCTAGGATTTAAGGGGTTGAGGCTCGGTCCTTACCTCCCTGCATAGACACCAGAGTTCGCCCATCAACTAGGGGACTAACCACCAAGCCTCGTGCTTGACTTCTCATTCTCCCAATACCCAAGATGCCGAGACAGAAAACAAGGTAAAGAAATAGGTCACCTATACACTCATGCGCAAAAAAATCCAGAGAGTGAACAAGATGGAGAAGTACTCACTTGCCCTTGCATGAAAAAGGAGATGGGTCAGAATTTAAGTGCAGCGCTTTTCCTTTCAAAGAATCTAGTTTTCAGCTCCTTGACTTAAGGCTTGGCCGAACAAAATATAGGAGGAGGAAGGATTTAGGTTTGTGCTCCAATCTCCATGGGGTTGGTCCACGGCTGAACCAAAAATAGAAGAGGAACTTGTTTAAAGGATGGTTGATTCACTATGGCTCATGGCTAGGAATGGGGATTGGAAGACCAATCAGTGCAGCCCAAGTCTTTGTATTCCTCTTGAATGTCCACGGTTTAAGAGGAGAAAGGAGGTGGAAGGGAGATGAAATTTGCTTCTTGGTGCTTCTTACAGCTCACGGCCTAGAGGATTGAGAGGAGAAGAATGGTATTGTATTTTTGTTTATTTGGAACATAGTGGCCAGAATTCTTAGTGTGCTTTCCTCTCTATGAGCGCACAAGGTAAAAGAGGTAAAGAGATAAATGGATGGGGTTTGCCATTGCCCAATAGAATTTCATGCATGCAACTTTGGTGGAAGATAAGATTGGACATGTGTCCTTTTTGGCCAATGTAGAGCAAGGGTGTAGATTATGTTTGAGGATAATCTAATGATCATGAATAGAAAATATAGGGCTGCCCTAAACCCCCACTTACAAAGGCTTGGCCGTGGCCCATGTAAGAACTTGGACCTAATAATTTATGGAAACCGTATTGTTTCATGAAACCACCAAGTTGTAATTTGAGTTTTCATAAGGGTTCCTAAAATATTCTTATACTATATTTATTTTGACATTTAATCCATGGCATGCATTCCCATCCTTCATGACAAAATTAAATAACTCCTTAAGGGTCACCTTTCTTATGAAATATAATATTAATTATTATTTCTTGTCCCCACAAGGTAGAGACTAGGGTTTCTAAGTAAATTATAATTAAACTTAATACTCTCCCTTCTTATGTAGGGTTTTGAATTACTAAATTATATAAACATTCGCTTAATATTTCCATCAAAATAATTTTCCTAATTAAATTAGTTCCACTCCACACATGAATTTAATTCGAGTTTCAGACATGCTACACACCCCTAATTTACAAGTTATGTGATTTCCTAATTTTTGGGGGATGTTACAATACAAAAATCAGAGTAGACTTTAAAAATTACATAGCTTGCTGAAAATGTTTAATTTCATGGCTTTCTGTCTTATAAAATTCGTATAAACTCGAGTTCAACAATTCAAAAAATATTCTTTGTTATAGAGAAAGAGCACGTCTGGGGCTTCCCTTGCATATAAAATAATAGCAATTCGGAGGTTGTTTGCCTCTCGTAACATAACTCGCAAAGTGCTCGCAAAACTGTTTATAAATCAGCACTTAATAAAATGTTCAGAAAATTATTTTCACAAAACGTTTTCAGAACTTTTCCAAAGTAATAACTGATCATAAAAGTCTTAAAACAGTAGCTAAATCATAGTTCCAACAGTAATCCAAACTTCCCAAAATAATACAGTCATCCATCAAATAAACAGCAACAGCAAAAATCCAAACAGCAGCAATTAACAGCCAATATCCAAAATAACCATGTCCTCATATGCTCTTTCGTCCTCCTGCAATTTTTATTTTATAAAAATTGCAGCCCCAAAGGGGTGAGAAAAATCTCAGTAGTGTGATAGCAAAACCAATAATGCAACAGTATTAAACTAGGCACAAAATTATAAAATAGTCACATCAACATTTCATTTTCCGGAGAAGCATTAACATATCATAGTGCGTATATAACGCCATCATTACACTCATAGCACCGTCGTGTGCGTACTTAACATATCATAGTGCGTCTATAACGCCATCATTACGCTCATAGCACCGTCGTGCACATACTAACATACACAGTGGATATTCCATAATGGCTCCTCAAAGGTGAATTCCAACTGTGGCCTATGCGGGCGGAAGCCAAGTGTCCCATACCTTGGTACCGAAGGGATGCCTAAATGATGCGTGCTCAAACGTATGCATATTTATATAAATATTCTAATCCATGAACAGCATGAAATTCGTGCATGTATGCCATGATATGCTTCACACACAAACAAGAAATAAATGAATTATGAGGTGTATGCAATGACTAGATCATCATCATAATAGCATATACTTCATGTACTTTTCGTATCAAGCTGCCACATAACAATTACTTCTCATACAGAATTTTCCATCTTGTCACATTCATAGGCAGCATACATATAGCATATGACAGCACATTAATCCAAGGCACATGTGAGCAACAATTCACAATTCTACACGCTAGCTAATAGTCACATTAGGTAATGCCACCAGACACTTACCTCGCGCGTCGCAATTAAATTACCAAACAGCGGCGAATCAGTCCAAAGTCTTAAGAACGTAGCGCACCTAAGCAACAAGGTTTCAAGTTAGAATCGTACGTCACAAATTTCTTACCTACAACATATGTTTTTAGCCTATTTTTCCTTAAATTCCTAATCGGTTTTTAGGATGCTGTTCCTAACCATTTTCGGATTCCTTTTTAATTTTTCAGACGCGTAACAACGAATAATTCTAAGACTTCCAATTCCAAACCGCATCGGTTTTACATATAACAAATTCTCAAGGTTTCAATCATACAATTTCTACTTCCCCATTCCTATGGTGCACAAAACAAAGCCTATATATTATGTTGTCTATTTAGGATGTTGTTCCTAGCCATTTTCGGATTCCATAATAATTTTTCAGACGCGTAACAACGAATAATTCTAAGACTTCCAATCCCAAACATCATCGATTTTACATACAGAAAATTCTCAAGGTTTCAATCATACAATTTCTACTTCCTCATTCCTATGGTGCACAAAAGAAAGCTATATATCATGCTTCCTATAGTACATATCCAGGTTCACCAAAACAGAATTGGTTTAAGCATATAAGGAGCTCAGGACATTTATTCGAAATTTAACTCAACAAGACCATGGGATCGTGAAGAAAGGCCTAACAACATGTCGTATTTTTAATCAAACTTGGTACATAACAAGGTTCATCAAAACAACATTTGTTTTATCCAAACAAAACATCAAGGATAATTTATTCCAAAACTCCACTAATCCATTTATGGTGCGCTACAAGGGGGTCTAAGCATGCTGTCCAATTAGTTTTTAATACATTCAAAGTCATAACTGTTATCCTAGTTTCATAAAATAATCTACCCAGCGATGGGGGTTATTTCATAAGCCCCAAAAACGATTCTCCAACATACTTACAGCAAGAGTTTATGGCTGGAACGAAATTAAAGGAGAGACGACAAGTCAGAAATTGTATCTTCCTATCACTTACCTGAACTTAACTCCTCATGCCAACAAGATCGAAACCCAAATGAATAAGAAATGGTTGGATATGACTTACGGTTTCTTGGCTCTATGCTCCCAATCGGCCAAAGGGTCAATTTTTCCTTTCCCACGTTCCAAAGACTCTTGCCCACACGCATGCAACGGAGGGGCTGACTCGACCGGACTGAACCTTATTCAATCGACATAACCCTCCATGAGAACTGATTCGAGTGAAGAGAGGAATAAGGAGCAAAGAAAATAGCTCACCTTCTTATGTTAACCTTCGGATGAACAAGAGAACAAAGAGAATATGGTTGAATTAGTTTTGTTCCTTGCTCATGGAGCTAACGGTTCTAGCAAGATAAGGGGAAAGGAATGGAAGATGGTAGAACAACTCGGTTGGGTGCTGTATGGTGAGAGTTACAGTTTTCGGAAGAAGGGCAGATTGTAGAGCTATGTTTGGGTCTTGCTTCAATAAGGTAGTCTTCAGCACTAAGAATGATGGAATGAGGGTAGGATGGCTGGTTTAAAATAACTACAAGGGCCAGAAATGTTAGGCTCCCTCTCTCTTTTCTTGCGCACAAAAGGAGTGAATGGCTGAAGGGATTTCTGCCTAATCAATTAACATGCAAATCTGACTACAACCTTCTTATTGGCTGCATGTAAATAAAGCTGTTTGAGTTTGAGAGGTGCAGCAATCAATCGACTTTCCTTTTACACTCTCTATGCGCATGTGATAAGGGAAGCAATGAGAGAGGCTGACTTACTTAGTATTTTATGCAAGCAAAGATCAGAATTATAGTTAAGCCCTATGCGCACAAGTGGAGGGGAAATAAGGATGGGCTTTGCCATGTGGAGGTTACTAACCAATTAAGGCTGCCTTGAGGGATTCCTTAAGATGAGATAAGGAGCAATACATGATTGGGCTGAATCTTATTCATTCCCTAAGGCCCTAAGGCTTCGGCCAACTCATGGACTTGAGTCCAGAAATATTCTAGTCCAATAGCCTACTAATTCATAAACCAACTCACTAATTTATAATCTCCCAAGCCCTTTAAGCACCATGGTCTCTTAAATATTATTAACATTCTATATCTATTACCATCAAATTATTCATACATTTTTAATAAGGGTTTCACATGCCTACATACGTACTCACCTTCCATGATGATACCAACAATTCCCTAATTTAATTTAACTCCATTCTAAAGCATGCATTTATATAATCCGACGACAAGTACTCTACCCCATTCCTAATTGCAATTTAAATAGGTTCCTAATTAAACGGGATGTTACACTCTCCCCAACTTGTTTGGAAGTTTATCCCCAAACTTCGTCTTACCTTTCCAAAATCTGCCTAAGTCTAACGCTTAACACCATTACACCATGCCATACAGTGCACTGCATTCATACATTTAGTTATAAAAGTCATCAACATCTCAGAGCATTAACAACAAATTTGTACTTTACATGATCATTAACTAATATAGATATAACACAATTTTGTTCGTACAGAATGAATAAAAAAAAATCTTCCTAAGATTAATCATGACGCGAGCAGTTTGCTGAGTTCCTTTTAAATATCAATAAATACCATAACGCACAAGTGGAATAAAACGGACAAAAACCTTACTAAACCAAGAAACTCCAGCTAAAAAAAAACTATAATAGAGCTCAAGGTTTAGTGCACAATTAAGAGACAACTAAACAAATCTATTTGCAAAACACTTCTTTACTTTCTAAATTTTAATAGTTATTACTAGTGTAGGCATAAGTGATTAACCTTCTATTCACTCGACTCAGAATTGTAACGTAAGAGGTAGAACATAATAATATAAAGAGGCTTCTCGATATCCCTATATCATCACTCATCCTTACGTCACACCTTATTACTAATCAACCGATCCTAAGTTTAAAGGTTTCCATAAAAATACGAATAACAAATCAGTGGCCCAAACCGAAAATTTCCTAAGAATGTAGGGGTTCATTTAGAATGAAGTGTTATTACCTCCATTACCTGTGCACCTGTAAGAGCCAATTAACTAAGACCTCCAAATTTTTAAATGTTTCGTTTTTGTAATATGCGTGTTACAACTTCTTAAAAGTGCCATAACCTCCTACTTGATTCTTATGGA